ATAATGCATTCGAAAGCACAACCCAACCGGTCCTATAAGGGGAACACTTTCCCTCCCTCTGTGTTGCGGTGCAACTTTGTTGCACTTCTGCGTGGTTGCTAACGATTACATTGCAATGCTGTGTATTACATATCATTAAGCTATAGTGGATTGTTATTTTATACATATGTAATTGGTTACAAAAAAGGAGATCGTTCGACTTAGACCGATAGGTGTTCGTCTATTTATGTTTACTTACTGTCCGGTTATGGTAACGCCGATAACAAACTAGCTAAGCTCGCTATCTGCCATTTTAGATTAAAATACCGAGCGTTATCTGGCCATGTCAAATGTCTATAATACAATGACGGCAGTCAATGTTACTAACGGACGTTTAAATTTTAAAAATACTTGAGCTATTATAAATATTAAAACAGTTGAATGTGACATTATCAGCAAATAATAATAAGTTATTAGTAAACAAGTTAGGACATCTCGTTCAATTGATATAATTTTTCATCAGACTACGATATTCATTCGTAAGGGTATATTCGAATCACGATCTATTGAGATAAACAAGTTGTTTGCTTAAAGTTAAACAAACATAACACGATTAAGTATTCACGATATCACGTTTTTCGTATTCTCACATTCTTTACATACGTCGCGTTTACACAAAAAATTGTAAATACATATAAATATATAACAGGTTTCATATAACACATGTTTCAAATGAAACTAATATTTTAGGAACAATACAGTTAATAAGTAACTGCTTTTGAACCAATAATAATTAGTTCCCAAAAAATTCTTGATTATAATTTAAAATATATATTAATATTAATTTATATTTATGCCCAAAAAACATTGTTTTGTTAAGTTTTGAATTTCCATGTCGATATATTGTATTGACTATTGATTAAAAATTACACATGTAAATAATATCTCTTATTATAAATTAGACTTTGTTTATTACGTTATATTATGAGATATTATGAGAGTACCAATATTTAAAAGAACATTTTAAATTTATAGTCATTGAGAAAATATTATTTACAATACTTTCAAAAATGTATTAATAGCTTCATTAATTTACAATTTCTCGTTATTTTAATACAGTACATTAAATAATTTAATATTTACTTTACGCAATAAATGTATTGTTAAAGAAATCATTGCTGTGCAAATATTAATCAACATGGGTAATGGTCGGAAAAACAAATATACATACCTCCCATGCAATATGTACATAAAGACAGAACATCTAATAATTGTTATGGGCTAGTACTACGGCTATTTAAGTACGTACACTAAATTAAAAACATGTTTACTAGAACCACTTGTACAATTATTTTACTTGACAAGTAGCTTGTAGATGACATATTGTATACCTATTCGATAGTACATAAGCATATTTGTGTTTACGCCAATCACGTGATATCTACATACCTTGGTTCTTATATAGTTTTTATGGTGGTCATTACGACTGACCACCATAAAAGTGACTTATGACTTGATAAAGGGTCATAAGTGACTACTTCCCTTCATCCCATTTCCAGTCCCAAATATTATGTATAAGACAAAATTTCATCGATTGGTTAAGCCGTTAAGGCGTGCGAACTTAAAAAGTAAACAAATCCTTGTTTATAATTGTAATGGAATCTGTTACGATTAGATACGATTAGTACCTAAGTAATATAAGTAAAGTCTGTCAAAGTAATGTCCAGATGTACAGACAAATAAACAATTATTTGTTTGTACGTCTCGACATTACTTTTTAAATAAACATATGCATATAGATGAAATTTTACGGGGAGGTAGATCTAATATTTGCTAAAAAAGCAAACGGAGTAGCTAATCCTCTATATAAACTTAAAACTATAAACATACAATTGTGTAGACAGTAGAACTATTTACATAATTATATTCTAGAGTATTTAGTATGGACTAACTGGTCTAGACCGGTTGTGCCTGCACTCTGTTATGTCACCCATCCACATTGGACAACACAGATATCTCAGGCTTGCTTCGATCGAGCTTTCTTTTTTTAGATTTCTAGAGAACTGACTTCGTCCGGATTGAACAATGTCATACCTACATATAATAAAATCGTAAACGAGTTGGATGTGGTCGTTTCAAGTTTAATAAAAAAAGTTGTAGTCGTTGGAGTAGACGTGTTCAAGAGTGGAGGCCGCGAATTAGCAAACGTAGTGTGAGACGCCCTATGCACTGCGAATTATTTAACTAAGCTAACTAACTTATGAAATGTATAAAAAAAAATTGAGGATAAATAAATTGTTTAATAACAATAATAAGGTTATATGTATTGTTATATTCAATTGCGACAAGTTTATTTATCAGAAGCTTGGTCTAAAATAGTTTTGTGAAGGCTTTTAAATAAAAACAGTGACTTGCTCGCAAAAAATAAACATTTTCGTTATAAAGAAATATATTAAATTATATAACATTTCATAGAAACATCTGTACCACAATCCATATCATCACATCATGTGACGGATTGTCATTGTAGACGGATAAGGTGCCATATTTCCATATCCAATAATTTTACTGCAATACTTTTATGTTACCCTACAGAACGAAAAACTGCTTATAAATTAAGCAGTTTGGTGATATAGACTTACCTACCTATAAGACTTTATCCTACACGAGTTAATATTAATACACGAGTTAATAATTTACTTTAAGTTATCAACACTATAACTGTAACTAAGTATATTTTTGAAAAGTACTGTTATAAAGTAACACATTATATATAGTACTGATATGCAAGTTAAATTTATATGAACTAGTTACTTTACCACATTCATAGTACATAGCTAGTTGTTGACGTCTGTGAGATGACCTCTGTAGGTGCTTACAAGTACACTGTCCTATCAAATATTCAAGTACAAACGTATAATGGCGATAATGACTACCAATTTACACTTCATTAGCACTTTCAAGAGGTTTTCCGTCATATAAATATTTCAACTGTAAGTAAATATTATACCATAGGTACTAAATCATCATTATTTCAAACCAATTGCTACTTTATTGAATTTATATTAAGACAGATATTGAGATTGAAAATTTTAAATATACCTAATGTTACTTAAACACGCACACAACCGATGAAATCAAATTAATTAATACTTTTGGTTTTCTATCTCTTATAATAAATTCTTATGTAGATTCATGTTTAAATTATTGAATATTACAATTAAACCACAATATATCTATACATATTCTACTCTATATCAAAAGTGGTTAGCTACGTAGAATTTGAAGTGATAAATAAATAAAATAATATATTAACATATACTTACTTAACTATCTTAATAGTACTATAATATATTTAGACAACAATAGACGGTTAAACTAAACTTAAAAGCAAACACAACAATACTACTATTGTTATAGCGTACATAACTTGAATTGTCTTTATAATAATTGTAGTAATACCGCAGATAATATATTTATTCATTGATATATTCTATAACAATGAATAAAATAGGATCTATATGAATTGCATGATATATTGTTAACCATTAAAACAGTAGTTATATATATTATTCTCGTTCATTTTGTCATTCCACTGAAACGCAATCTCATTGTAAATAAATTAATGCAGTTCCCATAGTACATGGGTGGTTTTTTTTAAATACAATGTATCAACTCCGTTTTTGATTATTGTTCTCACAGTTAACGTCATTAATAAATCACATGCTACTTGTCTCTTTTTGTGACTGAACCGCCTCAACAGGATTTTAAAATATTCCACCAAGGAAGTAGTAGAAAGATATACGTATACATTTTACAATTCTATATTCGTAAAATGTATGGGTCACGTAACTTTTAATGTCCAATAAAGTAAATCTTGTGACCAACTTCTACAACGATTTTAATTTAATTATTTTACAAGTCTATATTGCTTTTTTGAAACGCAAATTAATACAACGGCTAGGAAAGAAATGATAAGGAACTTGATGGTGTACATACGAAAGGTCAAAAAGGCACATTTTTAGTATAAAAAAAACTAGATTTTCTCCTAGTCTACTCTCAAGTTCAAATAAAACATCATTCATGTAGGACGTTCTAGCCACTTAGGTACGACAAGTCTTTTGCATTAATATATTTTATGTTCCCTACCGTCCAGTTTAGTATATAGATTTATCTTAATAAACTTATATTGATCAATTACAAAACAATTTAAGTATTTATTTTATAGTTATTATAGTTGTTGTCCTTATTCATAAAAAAGTGACAAATGAACAAGTTAATTGTAAGTTAAATAAGCTATAATAACTTATTTAACTTAACTTATTATGATAAAATTATTAAATCATACAATAGGTGTGTAGATTTTCGTTTTTATTTATACGGTGTATTTCTATGAGCCCATATTGTAATCCGCAATGAGTATAATATTATTACATCTTTTGATAGCTTCCTTTGTAAATAAATATTATAAAAATGTCAACCTTCGTTATTTTTTCGTTGTGAATAAAACAGATCCGGTCGGCTGATCATGAACGTTGCACTACCTACTTCTCTAAGTCAAGGGCTAACTAGCAGTGCACAACTTGTTTGATAAATATTTTATTGTAATCCTATTGATTTTCAATGCAATTCCTAAAGTTTTTGTGAGATCGTTTCTAGCAATTTTCGACTTCGTTGATTTTGAAAATTCTAGTATAGCGATAAAATTTACTCAATGTATATACATGTTATACTCGTAGTTTAGGTTTTTTCATTCTCGACGGACAGTAGACGCTTTTGTACCAGTAGTAGTTTTGTACATTCTGATGGGGAATTAGTGAGTCATATAAGAATAAAAACAAATGAAATGTAAATAAATTTAGGTCATTTAGTAAAGGTAGAATATAAACACGAGTTGTATCCTATACTGGGATCCTTAAGCCTCGTTGCATACACCAATATACCACAATAAAAAAAAATATTTCTGAGTTATTTTTATAGTTTTAATAGACTGAAGTTTAAACAACAATTTCCCCTTACAGGTGGTTCCATGGAATAATGTCGGCTAAGGAAGCTGAAGATTTGATTATGGAGAAAGGCAAGAACGGGTCGTTCCTGGTGAGAGAGTCACAAGCGCATCCCGGCGAGTACGTGCTTTCGGTTCGAGTCAGAGGGCGGGTCAGTCATGTTATGATCAGACGACAGGTAAGATTGCTCTATATTTGCATATAAATTCTTGTGTCACTGATACTTACCATACTCCTCCAAAACGATATGACCGATTTATGAAAATGTATATGCATATTCAGTAGGCCTGAAAATCAGCTACTATCTATTTTTATACTCCTAAGTGTAAATATTATCCACCATACCATTTTTTTTGGTAATTTTTTTTATCCTCAATTTTTTGCCCTTCTACCATTAATCCCTATTTTTTTAATAGCGATTTTAATTTATATGGCAAATCAACGTATATATATGTATAGTATTGAACAGATAGATATAGGCTATTAGGTTATAAAAAAAATATTTATATGGGTTTTATAAATTTTATTAAATCATGAATAATTGTAATAAGTATGTCTATGTTAATTAACATTGCTGCTTAATGTTAGGCAAGTACAGAACATTACTTAATTTCATAATTACCTAGATACAGGATAAGAATTGAAACAATTATAAACTCGACGAACTCCTATAGCTGTGTTTATCTATCTTACTTACCATTGTTGTCAATATGACGACAATAAGATGACGTCATTAAGCATGGAGTTTCTGAGTTTTATTGTTTAAATATTTGTGGTATTCGTCGACTATTAATACAATTAACTGTACTGGACAATATTACTCGTTAAGAACAATGAATATTGTTGAGTATTAATTATTAAATATGCTTATCTAATACTTGTCTTATATACATACATATATTTGTATTTACAAAAAGAATGTATCGAAGTGGGATCAGTTGTCTATTACCCATATCACTATCATTACCTTTATATATATATATATATATATAGACGCATAAACATACGAGCATTTACAATTTTACATCAACAGCACCGGGTGGAATAGGGCCGATGTTCTAAATATAAAGAGCCTTTGAAATATGAAATAGAAAAAAATACTATAGGTACTCTTTGCTTGTATTGCTAGTTGCAAAATAGTTTATATAGTATATATTATAATTGTAACGTGTGAAACAAACTATTTTAGAAAATCAAGACATTTATTTGTATGTAATTGTAATGTTATCTGGGCGTCAGTGTCGTACGGGTGCTGTCTGCAAATAATAGTTGGAAACCAGCATGATGGTAATAAAAGCGTTTCCATGTCACAGGAATTCCTTTAGCCCACACTACAAAGTGACTATATTGAATACCAATGGAATTTTCCGAATAATCACTTACCGAACGTAGGGTTGTTCACTTGTTTGATACTATTTCTGCTCGTGACTTCCTGCGCATGTGTATTATATATATAATAATATAATAATAATAACTCGCGTTATTCATATAGCGCTATCTAGTCCCGCGCTAGTGTAAATACCTACACATTTTTTTTAAAATGATAAATGTAATATTTTTTTTAAAACACATACATAAAAATATAAACGATTCATACAATAATACTTATAAGTACAAATGTTTGTACCGTGCGAAGAATTGATAACTACATTGATACATTTTTTTTTAGAAACTATGCTAAAAATAAAATTTTATAAACACATACATGCTACACATAGAAAACAAATGGACCAAATAATTACACTGAAAAATACAAATGTTTGTACCATGCGAAGAATCGTACCCGAGGCCATCGGCTGTAAGGTGTGCTAAACCGCTAGACCACCGAGGCTGTTAAAATAAATCACAATCAATATAAACTTTTCCAGACACATCTATACCACGAAATGTTTACAAAAATATTATTTTCACTCTATTAGGTGTATTTAATCTTATGTTCGATATTTGTCTATATATATTCTGTTTCCTCCAACTGTTTTAGGTAGGTTTTCAGGACGTACAAATAGATACACTGATAATCAGACAAATAGAAAATTAATTCATTAATAATTTAAATTCAATTATTACCAATAACATTAGAATAGTTCGAAAAAAATAGTTTCTAATTCATAATGACTATTTTTATTGATAAAGTTAATATTGGAGTACGTCGTATCATCGTTACTACAGAAAGACCAATAAAATAATGTTTATGAAACAGATGCACAATGCGCTCCAATTTCATGAAAACACTTCCAGTAACCAGGGATGTAGTCGTGCTTTAAATTTTTTATTAAATAATAATATCGATTAAACCACTAGTTATTGGATACATTTTAAAATTTAATATACTAGCTATGAAAGGAATCTATTCGTACAAAGCTTTTTTGGTGAAGTTTGACGTGTGATTTTAGTTGAATCACACGTCAAACTTCACCAAATAAAGAAGGAATAGTAAAATCAGGTATATATTAGTTTATATTCTGTAATAAATGTTTTTTTTAGTAAATATAGTAAAGCATACTGAAGCCAAAACTATTCTCTCGTTATATGAATTTCAGTAAACGAATTGATGATGATGATAGTAAAGCATACTTACTTAATTAAATTACAATATATAGAAAGTAAACCTGTTTAATTGTTCAGGATGCTCGACTCGCACTTTACCAGTTTTTTAACCCTGAGAACCCGCACCTGTATAATTCCTTTGTCGTAATAATATGCGACTGCGCCATCAAAGATGACCGCCATTAAAAATCCTTACTTTCAATGTTATGGGTTTAACCGTCAGTTACTTTCCTATGTGAATCGTAAGTATAAAAATTTTAAATTTCTATTAAAAGTACCTGTATGTAAAGTAGTAAGTTTTGATTTACATTTGATTTTTTGTTTTGCATATGACAAAGACTCGTCACTTTGTAAAAACTTTTTATTAAACATTTTGCTTCTGTTGAAATGCAAACAATCGCGACATGTGGTCATCAAGTAGTATGAGTAGGTACCATTATTGTCCACTAACATCCAGTAACAATTGGACTTAACTAACTAATAATCACATCCGAATAACCCATTCTACGCCCGCGGTACTCTGCAATCATTTTTTGCTCGTTACGGCATTAATTTTTGTTCCCAATGAGGACCCACCCACGCCTGGTTTAATAAACCAAAAAAATAATTTTATACAAAGACACATTGGATACATAGCAAGCAACAGAATTATATTGTAAGATCGCTCTTTATTCAGTGTTGTTTAGATAAACACACCCTTAACAAAAATGTTAAAGGTGTGTCTATCTAAATAACACACAACACACTTTTTTAATAAAGTTTAAAAAAAAGCAATCGGCTTATTAAGTACAGCCCTGTATTGATTGTCGACATACATACGAGTCAGGTTACATGCGAGGTATACAATTAATGATGACTAAGGAATTTTCTATAACTGTTGCGAATTTTCCCATACAATACTAGGAGATCATAGCTATGCAGAGGGTAACAACAAATGTTGTCATACTGCTCGTCAGGACATCAAGTATTAGTAGTACTGTGAACACGCACACACACACAGGAGAAATATTTATAAGTTTACGTAAATAAATTTCTACTAGGAGGACAGCAATCAAAAAAGTTTCAACGATCGATAAGTGATTTGAAGAGCGAGGTTTTTATACCGATTAAGGTATAATTGCGGAAAATCTGCGATGCCTATTGATAATAATGTTAGGTTTATTCAAAGTAACTAAATGTAGTTGGTATATGAACCACACGCTGGTTGTATGTTTTGTATCTAGGAACTATGGACAATAGTAATATAAGTAGGTACTTACATAATCTTACATTCATAGGAACACATAATTGTTAAACATTTGTTTATAATAAAAATAAAATGTCATAATATAAAATACGTATTCCTAAACAGTAAGAATAAAATGTTTAACAGTACATTTCTTCCTATATTACATACGATTATAAGTTTACATTTCGAAATAAAAGGGGACAAAAAACAAGTAAAAGAAATGAAGAGGCAAATGAACGAAATCAAAGATCGGGTTAAGGATCTCTCAGTGACTCATTATGACAGTATATTACAATCATTAAAGTTTTATTATGAATAATATTATTTTAATAAATTATGTACCCGCTGAAGAGGCACAATTTAAAGCTCGACTCAAAAGTTTTTGTCGACGACTAGTAATGTAGATATTAATCAAGAAATTATTGTTATTAATACTTTTTTTTGCGTGCTACAAGAAGATTATAATATGTAGGCACGCATTGAATAAGACGACGTGTGGGCTGATACAGATGAACTGTACCACAACCAAACTGTTGTTAGATCCTAACTTTGCTTGTTTGATATTTTATATAAATTCTACATTTGGGTGTCGGTTTATTCTTGAAATAAATTGTATTTATTATTTCCATTCAATTTATCATACAAGTCTTATAAGTATTTTAGCTTGATAAAATATTTTCCCGTTCTTTTCGGTTGCGACTTCGTACTTTCCGTTACGAAAAAATGTTTCAAAAAAGACCACGATATACGTAGTCTGTTCTTTATTCCTAAATAATAGACTTTAGTTGTACCTAAGACTTTATACAACTACTTTTCCATGTATATGGACGGATAACATTTTTGTAACATGTGCGGAATGCAGAGAAAATCTGGTACGGATTTTTTTGTATATTAAGTGCCTGTAGAGTACTTTATTCAAGATTCGGGAGATTATATATGAAATACGAAATTTTAAAATACTATACAATGTATGTTGTTATTCTTGTATATATTAACACGTCTTTCACTTGAAATAATAATTCATTAAAAACACATTGGATTTGGTAGATTGAAAGGTTGATTGTACATATGCAGAGAGTTTAAACTTGAACTTCAAGATCATCAAGAATCTCGAAAACAACTAAAGCCGCTATAATATCCGGTATTTAACCGTGACAATGGTAAAATAAGGCAAAAATACTGTCGGCGTATGCAAACACATACAATTTGTATATTACCACACATTCAAAACTGAAATATGAAAGGAAACAGAGCAGAAATGATGGCCTCGGTGGGTGGTGGAGTCAAGGCACATTGCCTTACTTCCAATGGTTGCGGGTTCGATTCCACGTACGGTACAAACATTTGTATTCATGAGTAGGATGGTTTATATCGGTATAGGTATTTCCAGTGTATATTATGTA